AAGGAAGGAAGGAAGGAAGGAAGGAAGGAAGGAAAGAAGATGGATAGAGGGAAAAAGAAGGGGGAAAGGGACAGAGAAAGAAAGGAGAGGGGAGAGAGGGAGGGAGGGAGGAAAGAAGGAAGATGGCTAGAGGGAAAGAGGAGGAGGAGAGAGACAGAGAAAGAAAGGAGAGGGGAGAGAGGGAGGGAGGAAGGAAAATGGCTAGAGGGAGAGAGAAGGAGAGGAACAGAGAGGAAAAAGATGGAGGAAGGAAGGAAGGAAAGAAAGAAAGAAGATGGATAGAAAGAGAAGGTGGAGAGGGACAGAGAAAGAAAGGAGAGGGGAGGGAGTGAGGGAGGAAGGAAGATGGATAGAGGAAAAAAGAAAGAGGGACAGAGAAAGGAAGGAGAGGAAGAAGATCGAGGAAGGAAGGAAGGAAGGAAGGGTCTATTGATAGAGTTAGAGGTAGCAGTGAACAGTTTGTGTTTTTTTCACATCCTTTTGCGTTTTCATCACACCAGGACGCAACCGCTTAGTTAAAAGAAAGGCCATATACAGATAAGCTTGATGTGCAAACAACTAAGATTAAATCAAGGCATGGAGAGAGGTAGAGGTTAGGGTTTTTTTGTTTTTTTTTAAAAAGGAGGCTGACCTTGCATTAATGGACTCGATTCTGAAAGCATCTAGTGAAAATCTATTTAAATGAATAACAAACGGCAGCCTTCAGAAACCAAAATCAACTCGTTTTCTTACAGCCGCAATGGCTTTTAGCATTTTTTTAAAAATGGCTTGAGCTAAGCTAACATTTCGACCTGAAAGGGAAAGGATTATGATAGAAGCGATTTCCACGTAATTCCCACCTCCCCGAGAGAAGTGTGATTTAGTGACGAACACAAATGCTTGAAAATGAAAGTGACACAGTTTATTGAGGGCAAGGATTTCTTTCGTTTTTAGAAAAAAAGTGTCGCAATTTCATCAGATGACACAGATTCTGTCTTGGCTTAAAATGCACACAGGGGAAAAAACATCAGAGGCCCTTGTAGTCAAAAAAGCACATCCTCCTTCCTTCAAGAAACAGGGAAGGGAATCTGCCAAAGTTTTTAGTCTCGGCCCTCAACAGAAATACCAATAAAATAAAATAAAATAAAATAAAACAATTTATTATTATCATCTTTTTTTAAATTCTCACTACAAGTTAAACCACCTAACAATATCACTTTTTTTATTTTAATATATTGCCATTATGTTAACTCTGCAAATGTGTGATATAAAATTGCTGTAAGACTTGGTACCTTTATTTTTTTTTCTTCAATTTTATATAAACACAGTGGAACTTCATTACTGTACACGTATAATCTGCAACTACAGCTTAGCTGTAAATCTCCCACACGCAAAGGTATGGACATTTCTATCCCGCCCCACCTTCCTATAGTCCCCATTAAACTGTACATCAAGACCAAATACAAATTTTTTTGCGGTCCCCCGTCCCTCCCCACCCGCTTACAAAAAAATAACACTCTAAAAGCAATCTACCGCAAGTTTTCAATTAAGACGATTACAGATATAATTTTAGACCAATTGCTTTAAAGCAAGAAGGCAGTATAAACCTTCTAGGAAATTTTTTTTTTTTTATAAAAGAGGTTAAGAAATATAAGACAATTTATACATTTAAAAACTTACAATAAATAAGAGATGCAGGCATTTTTTGTTTTTTGAATACTAGATACTATAATCCAATACAAGAACATTGCAATGTTCCAAAAAAACGTTCCGTAAATTAATATTATTTTTGTCGTTTCTCCCTCATTCATCTTTTTTTTTTTTTAATGGTCTCCATGCTCATTCGTTTTCTTTTAAAATATTTATTAACATGGCAGGGGCCTATGGCTCATAAACTCTTCACAAATACTGTGACAGGTTGATGGGCGGAAGGAGAATGGATACTTGGCTACTGAAAAGATGCATTATAATACATGTCGGCTGACCGGTTCACCACTTTGGCCAGTCAGATATACGCAATACACCAACAAAAAAACAAAACAAAAAAAGGGGGGGGGAGGGGAACAAACAACCAGTTTACGCGCCTCCCACCGAAAGTCAGAATCCTTGAAACCAATGAAGGATGATTAACAGCCTCCCCCACTTCCCTCCATCACAAAAAAATGACGTTACAGAGAAGAATTAACTCGAGTCCTTTTCGGTGGAATTCTGTTTTTTTCCCTTTTTTTTTTCCGGTTGTTGTTGTCTGTTCTTCGTCTCGCTCGGTTTGGGATAAAGATCACAGCATGTTCATGATAAAGTTATACAACTGATTCAGCACCACAAAGTGAATTGGGAGACACGACCGCCGGTCCTGGGTCGCAGGGTCACAGGTGAGCCAAGAGAGTGCATTGTACTGTTCCAACACAAACCTGGAGACGGAAACAAATCAAAACAGAGCGTTAAAGGGAGGGAGGAGGGAGCTTTTGGGTTTTCAGAAAAGCTCAGCGGGTACAAAAAAATCCAGTGACTCAACTTCCAATCTCCACAAGCACATTGAAGTTCTACAGATAAGAAGAAACTGAACATCCGTCAGGAGAAAAGAGAGCTGTCCAGAGGATAAAGATGGTCCTCGACTTATGACCACCTCTGAGCCCCAAAATTTCCATTACTAAGCAAGACAGTTGTTCAGTGAATTTTGCGCCATTTTTATGACTTTTCTTTAGCTACAGGGGTTAAGTGAATCATGGCAGTTGTTAAGTTGCATGATGGTCCTTTACGGGGTGAAGAAACTAGGGAGGATTCCTTTTGGAGTTGTGGTCTCAAACCACAAAATGAGTGGTTTGGAACGAACTCCCCGTGGAGATTCGAACCCTCACCACCCTCCAGGCCTTCCGCAAAGCCGTTACCTGGCTGTTCCGACAGGCCTGGGGCTAAAGAGCTGTTGCCCCCGTCTTGAATGGTATGACTGTTGTGTGTTTTTAAATTATGTATTGTTTTTTTTTTTTTATTTTTTTTTTTTTTTGGCTGTTCCCCCCCCCCCCTTCCCTGATTTGATTTGTTAGCCGCCCTGAGTCCCCTTCGGGGGAAAAGGGTGGCATATAAATAAAATCAACATAACATAACATAACATAA